CCCCCCCCCCCTTTTATTCCTTCACGGGTAGAGCCTTGCTTCAAAACAACCAATCGACTCCTCTAAGCGACTGGTCACCCCCTAGTCTTCCTTCACAGGCAGAGCTACTGTGTCAAAATGACCGGTCGCTCTGTCCCACCGATCGGACGCGTTGTCCTCCTTTACCGCTTATTGAGACTCTATGTCAAAATGACAGGTCCCCAGTGGAAAACAACTGGTGGACTCCACGTTGCCAAAATCAGGAGGACGAAATTGAATTGTGTTATGAGATTTTGCCCACTTCGGACCTGCCTACAGCTCTAGTATTACACCAATCCCCTACTGAGGAAGTCATTTAGATATGATCTTCTCATGAATATGATAACACTAATGAAATATACCATGATGATTTGATTTCAGAAGGCACAGAGCCTACATATCAGCTTCTAGAAAGGAAGAACCGTGGTAAACCTGGAGTACAGAACGAAGCAGATCTTAAAGCCAACAGGAAATACCCCATCTAAGCAGATTGTCCGAATCACATGCACACTTTGTGAAGCAATTTGCTGATATATTTGTCCTCAATAGTGTGACTGAAGCACTAGAAGACTCAAAATGGAAAGAAGCCATGAACGAATAAATGCGAGCGCTATAGAAGAATGCCACAAAGGAGCTCGTACCTTTACCTCATGGAAAGAAGACGGTATGATGCAGGTGGATCTATACTATGAAACTCAAAACAAATGAATCTATTGAAAGATACAAAGCTAGACTGGTGGCAAAGGGGTACACATAGATATATGGGGTGGACTACCAGGAGACTTTTGCCCCCGCAGCCCAGATCAACATTATCAAAGTCCCACTGTCTCTAGCAGCAAATCTAGATTGGCCACTACATCAGTTCGATGTCAAAAATGTCTTCTTACATGGAGACTTGGAGGAAGAGGTCTATGTGGATTTACCACCAGGATGTAATGTAGCTCATGACAAGAAAAATAAAGTTTGTAAGCTCAAAAAATCGTTATATGGGTTAAAACAGTCTTTAATGGCATGATTTGGCTGATTTACTAAGTCCATGAAGAATTTTGGATATACTCAAAGTAATTCAGGCCATACCCTACTCTTAAAGCGCAAGGGCGGAAAAATCACTGCATTAATTGTGTATGTAGATGACATGGTCATACTTGGGAACTACACAGGAGAACAACATAAGCTACAAAAGTATTTGTCTCGGGAATTTGAGATGAAGGATTTAATGCTCTAAAATACTTCCTCGGAATTGAAGTAACAAGGTCAAAAACTGGTATATTTGTCTCAAAGGAAGTATGTGATGGATCTACTCACTGAAACAGGAATGCTTCGATATAAGCCTACTGACACACCCATTGAGATGAATCACAAGTTGTGTGAAGATATGGACTAGGTGCTTACCAATAAGGAACAATACTAGCGCCTTATTGGAAGGTTGATATATTTGGCACACACAAGACCAGATATTGCATACGTTGTGAGTGTGGTTAGTCAGTTTATGCATTCTCCCAATGTTTCTCATAGGAATGCAGTTGATCGGATATTAAGATACTTAAAGTCAACCCCTGGAAAGGGACTAATGTTCTCCAAGAATGGAAATCTTGAAGTTGTTGGATATACACATGTTGACTGGGCTGGTTCCATTACAGATAGACGCTCTACATCAGGTTACTTTACATTCGTTGGAGGTAACCTTGTCATTTAGCAGAGTAAAGAACAAAATGTGGTTTCCCGATCTAGTGCAAAAGCATAGTATAGAGGAATGGCTCAAGGACTGTGTGAATTATTGTGTATTAGAGGACTCTTGACATAATTGGGTTTTAAACAAGAGAAGCTAATGGAGTTACATTGTGATAACAAGTCAGCTATCGATATTGCTCATAATCCAATTCAACCTGATCGAACTAAACATGTTAAGGTGGATAGACATTTCATTAAAGAAAAAGTTGAGAACAAGATCATCTGTCTACCTTTTATAAAATCAAAAGATCAATTAGCGGATTTCTTAACAAAATCTGTTTGTGGGATGAGTGTTTTATGACTCACTTACCAAGTTGAGCATTGGTGACATGTATGCACCAACTTGAGGAGGAGTGTTGACGTGAGCTATCCTAATTAATCAAGGAGATTTATTTCCTTGATTAATTAAGTGATTTACTTCCTTATTTTATATAGTTGACATATCCTTGTATAATTATGAGATATTTTCCTAATTGATTACTGTAGCTATTTCCTTGTAAAACACTCTTGTAAACTCCTATATCACTACTAAAAAAAACCCCTTGCGCGACCAAACTTTGCGCGACAAATATTAACCATCGTCGCTCAAAGTCTTACGCGACTCAATTTTGCGCAACGAAAAAAAATCGTCGCAAAAAGTCACTTTGCGCAACAAAACTTTGCGCGACGACAAAGCATCGTCGCGAAAAGTAACTTTGCGCGATGAATACTAGAATTCGGTGCACACAGTTTTGCGCGACGAATAGTGATTCGTCTCGCAAAGTATTTACAAAAATAAATTAAAAAAAAATTATTTAAAAAAAATAAAATTAAAATTAAAAATTTTAAAAAATTTGGATGACTTTGCGCGACGAAATAATAATCTTCGTCTCGCAAAGTCTATACAAAAATAAATAAAATAAAAAAATTATTTTGTTAGAAAAATATACTATTGTAGTTCGGATTGGGTTTTTGTAGAAAATATATATTTTAAATTGACGATCAAATTGGTTCATTGTATTCATATAGGGTCAAGGAATGTAGCTGTAAAAAAAATCATCAAAATCGAAATTGAAATAACCGTTAAATCGTGATTTTTCGTTTATAACCGTCGAAAAGTTTTGTC